TAGCTGCGTTCATGGGCCCACCACCGAATGGTTTAACTCGAGATGAATTCCGAATTCAATATCTCGAGCGAATTGCTGAACAGGTTATCGATGGTAACTTTCGCAGCATTATTGCATTTCTTAAAAGTTTGAATAGGGGTCGATGCTAACCGTTTGAATCGATACGCGCTACGCCTCCAATACTTTTACGGACGCGCGGAGGCCATGGACGACATGGAAGTTGGCATGTGATGCCAAAACGAGGATGTTATGTGTATCATTTCGACTGCATTTTTTAATTGAGTTCAATTTTTAATTTGAGTTATACTATTTTCATCGGGGGCACACGACACAATTCATCGGGCAGATGGCCAATTGCTTGGGCATACGGCTAATTATATCGGGCACACAGCCAAATATATCGGGCACACGACCTCGGTGTGCCAAATTAAACGGGCACATGGCTAATTATATCGGGCACACCACCAAATATATCGAGTGCACGGCCAAATACATCGGGCATTCGTCCAACTTAACTGCAAAAAGGTGTAGTACTACGTAGTAACTGGTAATGGGACCAATACAGTATGAGTGGGACTTAGATAGTATCGATAGTACTATTATGTAGTTCGACTAACAGTAAGCTTAAGTGCGCGTCGTCAATGATAAGCTTTTAAATGTGTGCTGTTTTAGGCCGAGTCTGGACGCCACAGATAATTTTATGTCAATTATTATTCTGACAGAGAACTTCCTTTTCCAATGGGAGGTGACAAAATATTTGCAAAGTATTTTATGTGACCTCTGGATGCCATGATGGCATCAGAACAATTGCTGGAATATAGTAAGTAGTTAGGTAAAAATTGGACAGTTGCAGTTGAAACTCTTTTCTATCAGAAAACAGTAAAAATTCGACGTATTATGTGCAAATATATGTTATATGTATATGTTAGATTTGGTTGCCAAACACAAAAAAGCTGTCGTTTGAAAAATTGTCACAATATTTCTGAAAGTTGCAAAAAAGGTGTTTTCCTGTAATTTTGCAACCTTTTTCGCCTCCATACTCTGCGAATTTCAGCATTTGCTCGCGCGTATTTCACTTAAAATACCGGTATGGCATTCTAACACTTTCTGTTAGATGCTAGTATTCCCTATCAAGCACGCTCGACGAGTCGCCGTCGCAACTTCTTCCGCGGCGCACTCGAGACTTGGGCCACTTCACGCCAGACGCACAATTCGACCTCTGAGGCATACTCTGTAATAGGCTTGAAGCAACCTGCCGCATATATCAGCGTTCGAAATGAGCTACCCGATCAGCTGCAATGTTGTTGAATACGTCTTTCACTGCGAAAATCAACTTAGTTCATCGCGTTTGGGGATTTGGAGCATTGGCATGTACCGTTCATCTTACGTTAGTATTGTGCTTTTCACTTTTTTTGGCAATTCCAGGGTTAGGTGCATTGTTTAAAAAATTCTCGGACAAAAATAACGAGAAAGTAACTTGAATAACTCTTGGCTGCGTTATTGAAAGTTAATTCATCTAACGAGATGATTGGTCGGTGTTACTGTACACTCGCTTTCGTAAACAAGTTGTTCGCCGATTGCAAACATCATTTTTACATCAACTGTTTCGCAAATGAAGGTGCTTGCCGCAATGAAACTGAAATAGCTATCGCCACAGGCGTGAGCTACCATTCGGTGATAACTACAACACTATCAATTACTCCGAGTTGTTAATGATAGTGCTATAGTTAGGCTATCCTAGATGTGTGGAAGTCATACTGTAGATTTAATGTTATGCTTCTAGACAACTCGGTATGCACTGTACGTGGAAAGCAAGTGCGCACTACAGTACTATACATTGACAACAAGATGACCAGACAACAAGACTATGTGCATGGGTCCACGAATATAGTAAGTATACTTACTTCGATTTCATATCCTAGACTCCGATAGGGAGCATCATGATGAATTGGTGGACGCAGTGCGTATGTTTGCTTGATAGCGTTACTCGACTGAAATAAAGCATGGGTTGTTTTATTTTGCTAAAATTGGGTTACGGTGAACGGGGCTTATACTATTTTTAAGCGTCCGGTTGTTTAACATGTAAAGCAGTTCAACAATGGACAAATTACACGAAAAGCACAATTACGTTAACGTTGATGCTTCGTCTTAGTAACATGACGAACTCACTCGTAATTACAGTACCTGGTATCGATACGACGATGCGTCAGAGGAATGTAAATCCAGCCAAGCCATCTACCCTCTCAACATGTCACGGGCGCAGGCTTTGTAGCATCGTTCAATTTCATCTCCCACTGGAAATTTCTCAAATGGTGCTCACAGCCAAAGACTAACTTTAGTATAATTCCCTCATTAACTGTAAATCAGTTCCACTGTTGTTTTGACCCGAAATACTGTTTCAATGATGAGGGAATTATTACATCCGGATACACCTTTCGCCAGTAGCCCTGTAACCTAGGAGGTGAGGTGGTCTGAGCATACAAAGTTCCATATAAACCTCATTGAAGCAGCATTTCGGGTCAAAACAACAGTGGAACTGTTTTAATGAGGAAATTGTACCAAACACAACAACGCCCCGCACCCAACGTTCACAGATTCAATGTGCATCCTTCTGGGAGGAACTTAGCAATCGAATTAACTGTAACGTTATACTATCGCTCAACAGATATTATATAACGTACAGCTGGGATGATTCCAAAGAGTTCCTATCGACAGAACGAATTCTACGGTGACTACTCCGAAAAAGTGATCATAACTTGGTCATTTACGTTAAGCTTATGGCCATTTCAAATCTATTGTGCTGCGCAGGTTTATCGACAAACTCAGCCAACTTTGCTGAAAGACGACGTGGACAGGTGCACTAGTGCCTTCCCTGAGGAGAATTCGGTAAAAAAGGAGAGCGTGGGAATGTACGTATTTACTGTCGTTCAGGAGACACGGCTAAGATAGACATTTCGCGCCGCCTTGTATGTGCCAAAGCGTCTCATCGGACGAGCCATCGAAAAAGATGGAGAAACCTGTTAGTCAAAGAAATATCTGAGGTACTATTCCTTGTAATGTTCGGATCAGCCATCGCCAACTTGTTGGGATTTCGGTGGATTTCTCACAGTGTTGTATACGTATATGCTTCGCCGTTTTTGGCGACGAGAACGAACATTAACATGGATAACCATGTACGATTCGTCAAGTCATCAGTGCAATGCAACTGCACCCGCAGTCCATCTTGCACATTACCAACGGATTCCGCTTGGTGCTCATTTCAACCAAGCGTATGCATATAATATCACTTGGTGTCTCGTCAAAAGATGCTTCCACTATTTCATATGAATAGTATAGTTTGTACTAGTACAGTGCTACAGTAACCGAATGGTAACAACTGTAAAAGCTTCATAAGAGGAATTAGTCCTGAAATGCTGCGTCTCTGCCGAAAAAAAGTCACGGTCACATGATTTGCCGCGAACGGTACATTGCACTTGACCTACCAGCATGATTTGATGTGTCGAAAGGGACCACTGCGACAGCCGAGTGTCAAACCCAACCAAGCATTCGCGAATGAAGGCTTACCCAACGAGCATCACTGTCTTGTTCCATCGCCTGTCGTTATGCAAAATCAGTACTACGTAGTACAACTGTACAATTCCCCCATTAACACTGTAAAACAGTTCCTCTTTTCTTTTGTCAGAAGTTGTCATATATATGGGATTTAGTATCCTCTGAACTGACCACCTTACCTCTAACTAGGAATTAAGTGGTTGTTAGCGATAGCTAACCACTGGTGATGCAGTTAAATCCCGGGGATTTAGCATTATAGCTGCTCACCGGGGGTCACAGACCACAAGGCTACGGGCTAGTACACTGTATCCGGATGGCATAATGCCCTCATTAAACAATATTTGAAGTCAAAACAACAGTGGGACTGTTTTAATAGGGGAATTGCTTGCAAAATCATGTCAGAATCGGGTGTGCCTTACCACCGCACCCATCTGACAAAACCTCCGCATACTTCAGGCTCCATTCCACGAAATAATGGCTTTACCTTTTGGCTCAATTGACCTTGAGCGGCGGGCCGACGTTCCCATGGGGTGGTTTTCCCGGCTATGACGAAATAACTATGCCAGGAGGATGGGGGGGTTCGTTTATCGCACCCATGTAGGTGTCGTGGGCGGCAAGCTCCCCCCAGCTTGCGAGCCGTGCGGTACGTACTAAATTCGCAACAGGGAAGTTTCCCAAAACTCGTGAGTTTGAAGTTCTACATGTGGTACTTATAGCCCAATGCATGGCCGTGGGCCCATCTCGGGGAAATGTCCTGTACATACATACAGTATCCCATCGCAGCACTTCCATCTCCATCCCACACACACACGTATTACAGTGTACGTCCAACTTTTGAAATTTATCTCTACACGTCGCACACGCACACACACTTTTCAATTCACATTCAGCATGCCACGCCCTCGGATCTCGAAAGCCTCGATCGGGTATTTGCTCAATGCACCATTTGTCGACATGCACGCCAAGTGCAGCCAAGGCGGCGGCGGGTACAAGATGGCCCTGGACACCCAGCATGTCTTTTGCCGCGTCGCCCACGTCATTCACACTGACAAACTCGCGCTCAGTCGGTACAACATTGTCCCGTGCAAGTTCAAAGTTCCCCACTCCGAGCTGTATCCCCCCCACCTCCGAGGCTTCACGCTCAACTTTGGTGCGTTTCGGCACGCCCACAAGCGTCACCGCCTCGATCCGGCCGTCGTGGCGTCGTTGGACGCGATCGGTTTCGTCTGGGACGCCGCCCAGCACAAATGGGAGCTGCAGCTGCTCTGCCTGCAATTGTACAAACTCCAGCACGGGCATACCAACGTCCCCCGCGCGTTTGACATCCCATCCACTGACGCGTGGCCCACCCACTTGTGGGGGCTTCCGTTAGGGGTGATGGTGAACGACTTACGAAAAGCCATGAATACCCTAGCCCCGCCCAAACTCGCTCTGCTGGACGCGTTGGGGTTTGCCTGGAACGCCCATGATGTCATTTGGACAAGGCAACTCGCCGCCGTCACGACCTACGCCGCCCTCTACGGCCATACGAACGTCCCACGCATGTTTGTCGTACCGACCAGCGACCCGTGGCCGCAGGATACGTGGGCTATGAAGCTCGGGTTTGTGGTGCACAATCTGCGCACGAAAGCAAGTGGACTCGCCCGCGAACGAAAGGCACATCTCGATCGGCTCGGGTTCCACTGGGATGCCCGATGGAGCCGCCCAAGGACGGACGCGACGACGCTTACGTCTATTGAAATCGTCGAAGTATGATAATATAACTAACTACCAATTAAGGTTCGTTTGGATCCGAGGGTGGGTGGTGGGTTCATACATAAAGTGCCACTTTTAAAAAATTGGTGTATGTGCCAATTAATGACGTATAAAACTAAGCCAATCACTGATCCCTAAATTGGAAAAGCACCCATCACAGAACAAACCTCTGAATTTAGCCATACAACACGGAAGGTTAAAATAATACTTCAACCTTTGGCACACCACTTTATAGAGGTATATCATATATGAAGAGCTGTATACAGCTGTGCAAAATACATTGCACGTTGATAATTGGTCGATTGCCCTAAAAATTGATTACACTTTTAGGGCACTTCAGGATTCAAAAGCATGCGTCAATCAGGATTTATGGCCACTCTCTGAAAAACAATATTGCAACAATTGGCATTCTACGTTACCTATGGAATTGTCTCTTTTTTAATCCTGAGGGAGAAGGTGGGGTTCTGCGGGGGATGTGTATTCGAGCTTAGAGTTCCTGTCTGCAACAGATGTTCTTGTGTGAGGCGTGGTCGAGTTGTATGTACAATGCATATCATATGGGTCCAAATCACGGGCTCTACCGTCCGTCACCTTTCGTTGTCTTTACGATCTTAAGAGTAACCTAACGTAAAAAATCAATTTAAGACACATGATCTCAAATTAAGACCTGTGTTCAAAAACCAATGAAACGGGGCACTATTCTTGGAATAGAACCCTTGCAAAGAAATATCTTCTTCATGTCTAAGTACTTATTCGGAAAGGAGGGAATGCGCCTTCCAATACGCCTTGTGAATTTGGAGTGCAAATAAATTAGATTTCGTCTATAGTCGAATACTAGTACACACAACTTGTAAGCAAATGAGCAAACTTTTATTCCATTTTCTGGAAAAGTGGGAAAAACCAAAAATGCCATTTTCAATATGGTTATATAAGGTCCATTTTGTAATATGGCGTTTTGGACCTCTTCGAGGAGTAAATCCCGCTTGGAATTTTGAATTTGGGTTAAAACTGTTCAAGCAAGACGTGTTTCAATTATTATCGGATTTACTTCGAAGTGGGGGTTTCGGGCCAGAATATTGTAATACACTGGTATTCAGGTTGCCAGACGCACCCTTAATCAAGATAACAACATGTACCGCAAATTGATTCCCAAATTCGTATCAGATTTGCTTGGTTTTGACTTGTTTTTCATGCAATACGTCTGCAAACACAATATATTCGGTATGTTGTTGTAAGGCATTATTACGCAGTCAGCTATAATTCCTAAGTTTCAGAGGCTGAAAGAGTTGTCTTAGCGTGGAGACTTGGAAGTTCTCTTGGGCCACCGCCTTCCACAGATGCGCCATAAATGATTTTTTATGATACGTCGTATCGATTCGCAATCATAAAATTGAAGCAGTGGTGGTTGTGTTGGTAAACCGCTCACATAAGTTTATAAGATGCATGTTGAATCCAAAGTTGCCAGTCGAGTCCTTATCGGAGCTCGTGCTGTTGCCTGGAGTAAGGTAGTGCGTCAATCTTCCGAACGGCATGAATCTTCCGAACGATTCGAGTTTTATCCAATCAGATTACTCTAATTTGCCGTAAACATCACTGATTGGTAGTGATAATATTCATGGCAGTGATTATAACTAAATTAATACGAAGTAATGATTAGCAGCATATACTTGACTGTGGGTAAGGGCGTCGAGCTCGTGGACGTTGCCTCAGTCGAAGGCGATTGCCATCGCTTCGACGTTTGTTAATTTCATCACGAGTTAGGCTGTGATATTCCGAAACAAACAAAAATATTGTAAATTTCCTTCAATTCTACTCCGTTTACTGACTGTGAATCTCGATGCAACCTTGCCGCGACATTTGATTGGGTACAAATAATCGACAGTAAGGACATGGAAATTATAGATAATAATTTAGCCAATCAGCGACAAGAAATTTCAAAATGTCCAATCAAATGTCGCGGAGTGGTTCAGTGCGAGGTACTGAATCACGTGGCATCTAGACTAGCCCTATGAATACGCTCGCCATAACCTGTACTATATTAATAGTACAGGGAACTTCAGAATGCAAGGCCAGTCGAAGTATCATGTCATTTTGTCCAATCATTGAATTTTGAACAAATCGCAATCATTGATTGGGTAAATTATTATTCTCCCGCCAATTTGAGTTTCAAATTATTACAGGCCATTATTTTACGATGACACGCAACATGTACCCGATCGCTTTCAAGCTCCAGACTTTGGCACTCCTCGATACAATATCGATACCTCGTGTCACTACTCAGCTTGGTATAGCCCGCCGTACCCTACAAAACTGGTACAGCATGAGGGCTCAGCTTCAGGCTTTCGAGGGCAACAAGAAGGTAATGAAGCTTGAGCCATGTGGACGTCCCGAGTCGTTTCCGGATCCACCTGGATTGCTCGCGTTCATACATAAGCTCCGAGATGCAGAGCGTGCCTTAATATCCTTCCACATTATGACGTGGATCAAACACAACCAACAGCAATAGCTGGCTCAGTACCTCTCGACCAAAAAGCCCGGGACTGGATACAATGCTCTGCTTTTGCTGCTTCAACGCTTTTGTAAGCGGCATGGAATCTCGCGGCTTCGTCCAGGGACAAGCAAGCGCACCCAAGAAGACCTTCAGGGTGCCCAAGACATCTTTTCTCCCGAATTCCACTGTGAGTACCGGGCGTACGGCAAGCAATGTGTGTAGTGTGTACAACGTGGACGAGACAGGTATATATTATGACATGCCGCCAAACTACATCTGGGCTGTACGAGGTGGGTCGTCAAAGATATCGTCCGGTGAGAAGCACTCCATGCGGATGACTGCTGTTTTGACCGCCAAGGCTGACGGTACAAAGCTTCCCATCATGATCGGAGTAACGGGTGGCCCCATCGAGTCCAACGAGTTTCCAACGTTTCCGTCCGTGCACTCCTATGCCGTGCAAGAAATTGCATGGATGGATGGTCGTGTTTGGAAGACGTACATGCGCACCGTACTGTAAGACGACATTGAGGAAGCTGCGGTGGTCATCGTCGACGACTTCGATTCACATGTGTCAGAAGACTCGTACAAGATCGTCAATGAAGAGTTGGGCTCGCACCTGTGTCCTTCGCCACCAAACGCGACGTCCGTCTGCCAGCCGCTGGACGTCGGTGCCATGGCTCGGTTCAAACGGCACCTACCCCGAGCTTTGGCTCTGTGAAAACATCATCATCGAGGACGACGAGGATCAGCATTGATCAAGAGAGCCATCCAGGCATGGGATATGGTGTCGGTTGAAGCCGTGCGAGGAAGCTTTGGCAAGGCCATCCCACATGAGCCAATGGATTTGAATTAACCAGTGATTAATATTACTTGGATTGTTTTAATATTAAACTTTGTATGAATTATATATTATATGAATGAAGTTTAGAAAAGTTTGACACTGCCCGAGAATTGAACCCGGGCCGCTTCCTCTATCACTTTGATGCTGTCACGCTTAGAGCATCCCCACCGTGCCCAGTAAATTGGCCAATCAGTAAATCTGTGTGCTGATTTACTGAAAATTTACTGAAATATTTTTGCACCGCACCAGTATCCGGTTCAGTACTTTGCTGACCAGCAAATATTCCAGTAAAAGTCACACAGATTTGATGGACTTGTACAGTGCACTCAGTATTAACTCGCAAGTGTTGCACTCCAAACTATTTTTGAGTTTGTATGGAGCCATCAATTATCAGTTTTGGAATTGTGTTCTTCCAATTGTACAGGTGTTTACAACTGAATTCACCCCGTGTGATTGGTGAATCCTATGCTAAAAATATTCATTATGTACTCTGACCATATATTATCAAACTTGAAAAATACGAGGTAGAGCCTTTTCGAACGACTTTTTCACCGATGATTCAGAAATGGCTTCCCAGGCGCTGATGGTTCTCTCAATCATCTTTCTTCTTTTGTCAACAGCGGTGATGACGGGGGTCTCTTGAAGCCACCTTGTACGCAGTTTCGCCTTCAATTGGCCCATGACACCGAGATCCAGTGGTTGGATCACGCTCGTTAAGTTGGGCGGCAGCGGCTACAGAAAGCCGAAAAGCTCCTCGTCAACAGTCTTGTACGACGCACGCCAGGTTGTCGACCAAAATGACAGAGTGGCCAATTAATTCAAACTTCAAAAGTTCGTTCAGATAAATTTAATATATCCAAACACTTTCATCCATCTACGCCGTCTCCTGGACAGCGTAGACATGCCCAGGAGGATACGTTGGCAGCTCTTCCGACTAAATTGCACCGCCTGGAGTCCCGCGCACAATAAAAAGAATGGGCAACTTTGTTCCTATATTAAATAATGTCGTTAGATTGTGTAGGACGTTAGAGATCGTGGTTTCAGCAGGAAACAATCAACCTCGACTCAAAATCTTATGTGAGCTCCAGAAACTCACTCTCAGACCATCATTAATGTTGTGCTAACAGCAATTTACTCGGTAAATTTACCATCATTGTGCTAACAGCAATATACTCAATAAAGATATGACAAATACTCACACTGTCAATTCACAAAATAAATTTAGCAAGGTACTTGAAGATTATTGATTTCGAGTTTGCAAAATGTGCAACCAACCAAAATATTGCTGTTTTCAAATTTGTTATGATGAATTCAATACACAAAGGAGTTTACATGTACAGTACAACGAAAAACGAAAAATTTACAATAATGAATTTACTAGTAGATTATAAAATAATAGAATATAGAAATAGCAGAATATATAAACTCAATAATACAGATCAAATATACAAAAAATATTCAAGAAACATACCATCGGCGCAAATTGCCAACACCGCTTTAAGCTGATCGGAATGCTTCTCTTTAGCTTCGACCTCCGACGTTTCACCAACTTCACACCAAATTCGTCTTGGCGGCATGTCGTAGTTTACCGCAGTTTCGTCAACGTTGACGATGTCGCGCAGCGGCTGCTCTCCGTATTTCGTCCAAAAAGACGCCGAAAACGACATTTGGAGCTCTTGGAGCTCGGCTTTCTTCAACTTCGAGAAACACGGTACTCGCTGGGCAAAACCATGGCGATGGGTGAAACGTTGGCACATCACCAACAGGCACTTGTACGCTCGGTCGACGTTGGTCTTGCTCCCGAGGTAGGATTCCAGCCATTCTGGTTGATGGTTCTTTAGCCAAGTTATCATGTGCGACGTCGTGAGGTTGTGGCTATCGCCTCTAACATTTCTCATGTAGGCCAGGAGGTCAGTTCCAAACGTCATGTGCACCTGGCGTCCTTGCCCACCAAGCGAGGAGAGCTTCTTGTTCCGCGTAGTGGCCAAGTACTTCGCCTTCTTGGTGAGCCAAGTCTGCAACGTGGACCACACAATCCCCTCAATGGCGCAAATGGCACAGGTGGAAAGAGGGGAGTTCTCGTACGCACACAGAAGCTTGATTCTGTCCCCGAGGCTGTAGGCTTTTTGGACGCGCTGGCGGAGGATGGATACTTGCATTTCAAAATTTGAATTATTGGAGTTACGTTTCGAACCAATAGGCGATCGTCATGCAGATCACGTTTTGCTAACCAATCAGCAGCTAGGTCATAATTTTGCATTTTCGCCACGACAAACTTAGAAAGGATCAGATGAATAAAAATATGGGTGTACCACACTTGCGAGTTAATACCGAGTTCACTGTACTGGATTTGCTGGAGTCAGTATCCGGATAAAATGGCCGGATAAAGGGACATGCTTGGGTGATCGGCTTTGGAGCTCGATCATGTCGTCGAGCTAAGGACGGAACTACCTTCCTGCGGAACAAGAAACGTTGTGCCGCGCATGGCTGCACGTTTCGCTTGACCCCATCGTCGGAAATGACCAGAAGTCATCTCTATTCTACGAGAGAGTAGCAGCCATTTACAACGACCAGCATGAGTATGTCGGAAGTCCACCGCCACAAGTACATGACTAATGGTACGACTGTAGCCCACGCACGCCTGCAAGCTTGCAAATTCACTGGCGTGATACTATCCAGAAACAAGTTTCCCTTTTCTGCGGGGTGTATAAAAAGGCTCTGCACAACCCCCCATCTGGGGCCAACAACATTGACCACGTGAAGGTATAGAGATTAATGATAATTTGTACTTAACAAGAACGTACATTTCATTAGACCGCAATGGAATTGTACAGGGTGCGTTCAAGAAAGGCCACGTTCCGTCTACACCACTGCTGGCTCATTCAAAAGGACGCGCCAAAGTGGCAAGAAACCATGCCATCCTCGGTGTCAAAGTCCACCAAGGCGTGCATCGTGTCACTCAGCGAGTCCAACGGAGTCCGTTTTGAGTGCTCTGTCGATAACGTGATCAAGGCGCCCACTCTTACATCCATCCGATCTTTGGGCAACAAAAAGGCGAAAGCAAAGAGTCAAGGTATGCATCGGAATAATATGAATAATGTTTAATAATATACATTTTGAATATTATTTACAGTAGAAATTTATTCCATTGAAATAGCGGAAAGTGGGATCCTCAAAGTACAAACGGATATGGTGAAGGCAATTGTTGAACGCAACGCCATTGCACGTGACAACGGTCAACTCAAAATGTTCACGGTGCGCGTTGACCCCGACGACGTTGAAGCCTCAGCCTTTATTGCCGCGAAACGACGTTCTGCTATGTTAGACGTCGAGTTAGAAATTGAAACGAAAAGGCAAAAGCTCATAGCACTTCGACGCGCTAATGATGACGCTAGCAGTAGCACTAATGCTCCAGCCACAGAGTCAACTGAACCTAACTCAGATAATGACGATGCATAAATCGAATACGAAGTTATATTTGAGATACAATTGAAGATTCCATTTCTACAACTTAAGGCATACCATAGTATATTTAAACAAATTCGACAAGTAGAATAAATTTGACATTCAAAAAATTAATTTTAATTGCGTTATTGCAAACGAAGTTGCCACTGGTGCTCCATTAATTCTATCAGGAGGCGCTAGTGAATACTTGGATCGACAATTGCTCCAAATGCTCCGACCAAGCGATCGGCATATTCTGTAGAGGCCACAGTGGCATGGGTGCGGTTGAATCAACGATCCACTCGGGTGGGAGTGGCAACGTTGTCTCGAACTGAGCCATCTCGGACTCAAGTATCATGTTGTGCAAGATACAGCACGTCACAACAACGTCCTTCATTGCGTCCTTGCTCCAGAGTCGGCACGGGTTCGTGAGCGTGTGCCACCGAGCTTGGAGCATTCCAAACATCCGCTCGACGTCCTTTCGTCGCGACTCCTGTGCTTTTGCGATTCGCCTCCTTTGCTGTCGACGGGTTGTTGATGGTTTTGACAAACACGCTGTACTTGGGATAAATGCCATCTACAAGCCAATACGGTCTGTCGTACTTGTGGCCATTCACCGAGAATTCAACCATGGGCGAGGTGCCTATGTGAATTATAATCAATTGTGTTAATAAAATTTAGAAATTGGGCTGTACTAAGAGATACTTTTAAATAATTATGAGTAGTTAGTAAATACTTATAACAATTGGAGTTATTAATAGTATTACAAATAGCAAGTACCATGGATTGCATCGAACAACAGTGGTGAGTTGTCCAGCACGTTAATGTCATTATTTGCCCCTGGCATACCAAAAAAACAATGCCAGATACGCCCTTGAGTATCAGATATTGCTTCGACCACAACCGTAGGTTCCCCGTTCTTGCCCTGGTACTGCCCTGCCCATGCTTTGGGGCAGTTCTTCCATGCCAAATGGCAGCAATCAATACTACCAAGCATTCCAGGCCATCCGACACTCTTGCTGCGAGTAAGGAGATCCCTCAAATCTGCGGTTTTTGGACTTCGCAGGTATGTCGGGCCAAATTCAGCTTGGACGACGAGACAGAAGCGATGCAATGTTTCACGCATGGTTGATTCACCAATGCGGTATCTAAATATATATAGTTCGTGAGTTAACACAACATAATTTTTACATATAGGACAGAACGAAATATAACGAAACTGAATACTTCGAAGCACTATGTAGTATTAATTAATCCAACATTACAAATACATCTACCGGTCGTCCAAATCGTCCATTGCGGTGCCCGTTGCTAAGTGGCGGATACAAGCGGCTACGCGTTGATATGAAGACAGACCAAGCTTGCCTAGTAAATAGTCAGATATTGTACGAATAATGACCACATACCCACAGCGTCCTTGCGTTGTGTGAAGTACGAGTCATTCGCTTCGACTGTGTTCATAACATGGAGGAACAAATCACGGGACATACGAAATCGGCGTTTGAATAGGTCGTCAGGATACATGCAGTTGGGCGCGAAGTAGTCTTGCATGAGCAAGTTGGAGTAGAGACTGCATTGGCGGTCGATGTTCTGCGACTTTCCTGGACATGAACCCCCGTGTTTACGAGAAAGCACAGGGCCGAAAACCACTTGGATGGCTGCGTCAATGATGTCGCTGTCGCTGCCGCTACCACAGTCACTGTCGCTGTCCATCTGTTGATACTGAATGGAGTCGACTTCCGCGGTGCGAAACAATGGTTATATACTGGCCAATAAAATACTGGAGGGCATTATCCGAACATTATGCGGATACTGATGTGTCGATTTACTGGAATGCGGTGGAGATGGTCTTAACCATTGCACTATCGCGTCAAACGCTTATGCTTGCACTCTGTTCATTGTATCGTTTTTGCAGAAATTACAATATTTGTATCGTGTCTCTATATTTGAATGACCTGCCGAAACACAAGTCTCCTGTCTCCATTGCCTCGTCAAAACCCTTCGTGAACAACTTAGAATTATATATTCCCTCTATAATATAAAGTACAGCTGCATGGATTTGAATTTAACTTGAAGCAACTGGTAATCATTGGTTAAAAACCAATTCGTACTTCGAAGTACATTGACCAATATGACTTGTAATGTGCGAATAATCCAAGGAAAAAGCTGGCCTTGCATTCTGAAGTTCCCTGTATATCTTGGTTTATTCAATTGACAGGTATTTAGCCACTTTTAGCACACAATTTGCCCTGGACGTCACGAAGGAGGTCGAGGACTTTCAAACTTGTTGGGCGCTTGGATGGGGCTTTGGTCACACACTTTTGAATCTACGTCCAGAGAGTGTCAATATATCATGGACAATAAATAAACAATGGATAAATAATAAAATACGTTTTTATATAGTTTAAAATATCAAAGAATAGAAAAACCTTTATTAAAGAAAAATGTTGAAATTTTTGTGGGAAGATGCTTTAAAAAAATGATGAAGAAATACTATTCTGGTCCGCAATGATCGTTACGGTATTTTGACTTGATTAAAGTATACTCTAGGGCCAAAAGTAACTTGGCTTTTGTATTGAACCTCGACAATGCGTAAACACCGGTTGAAATTTAATTGATTGTACATATTTTATTCAAGGTACTTCGACTTGCGAATTCAATTGAGCATGAACGCTACTGTACGTTGACGCAGCACAATGAACATTGAAAGTCGACAGGTTTGAATCGTACAATCCTTTTTGAGATGCGGAAGCTTATAGTTATGAACTCTTTTTTTACTTGATTAAAGTAGACTTCTTAAAAACAATTACCTTCGTAATATAATAAACTTATCATATTATAGAGGTTTATACACCCAAAATGGGTGAAATCGTCAGTTGTCAAACAGCCTTACTGAAAGAAGTTGTTTTGTCGAGCCCAGACTCGCTGTACCGGTACACCATCAATACATAACTTGTAGATATTTAGGATTGGAACAAGTTACCAAGAGATGGTCAAGTATTGCGATCTACTGTTGGCACCAGAGAGTGTGCTATGTCTTTTCTCGTGCACTTTTCTCGAAATTTGATGCGAATCAAGTAGCCAATCAAAGAGGAGAGAATGCTCATCAATTTCCATCAATTATATATATAATACTTCGAGGTAAATGTCACCATTAAGACAAGATGTTACATTTGTATGGACAAGAGTGGTTGGTATAGATTATTGAATTGGAATTTGTGGTGTTTCTATTCTGAAAACTGGACACAGTGATATGGAGAATGAATGTGAATGCATCGACACAACCCAATACGATACACATGTACAGAAGAATCCTCGACAGAAGAATGAATTGAGTGAATTTAGGTTGCAGGAACCCATCATCAAAACATTTAATTCGTGTGGGACTTCAAATTAGTGTGAAAATCCAATCACCACAGCAGGACAACACGTGACATACAAAATTCAGCACAAGCATCGATCGATAGATTTGGAGAATCAACGCAAAAGTCCACATTCTGGGTAAAAGGACAATATCACAACCCATCAAATCACCTAAAACGAGCAACTAGGTGTTGTACCTTGGATACATTTCGGACGCTTGAAACGCCCCAGCCAGCTGCACGGGTGAGATATTGTGCAAAATATACACTGGCTCATGGTTATAATGTGCTCGTAGTACAGTCACCGGTCTTGTTGACGGGGGTGTGGTCTACCATCGCACACACAGCCACGAAAAGTAAAGTTTCACCTTTCAACATCACAGCTCAATAAGCTGCTGCACTTGATTACAGGTATGTTTACCGTAATAACATCCATCTGTACTAGCTTGGACGGAGCAATAAACTACCCAGTCCACGGTTGCAACGCTGCTGAAATAGTTGGCATATGGAGAGATGCCGCTGGTGGGGGAGTCGCCTTATTTGTATGAGAAATGTTTGGAGAAGAATTCGATCCAAGTGTTGTCGATAGAGGAGAATCTGGGATAAACGGCAACTCGAGGCCATTCTATGTTGTTATTGTGGTAGTGGAGATGGCCTACACAATCCCCGGAATAGTATTCTTCATCATATATATATATATATATATATATATATATATATATTGCTTTGTCTAATACAGTATATGTATGCTCGATGTCACCAAATACTTTTCTACTTCTACCTTACTACGTACGAGTAATATACAGAATGTACCATTGTGATTGGCCGAAATTGAAGAAATTCCCACCAATCAAATGCTCCTTCCTACCTTGTCCTTGTTGTGGCGTCGCACAGGCAAGGCAATCACGGACGGGTGCTTGTACAGCGTGGTCGCGAGTTTGAACTCGATTCGCACCCGCAATTCGCCGTACTTTAGGCTACTTGAAGTATAAATTAGTAATAAAACACATCAAATCTAATGAGCACCGACAAATTATGGTCAAACGAGAATACTGTATACAAATTCGACCCAAGAATATGACAAGTAGTGAACACACACATGCATGCATTGATTCGTACGAGGTAGTACATGGTTGCTTCCCAATTGTTACGGGTAGCCACAGGTCCTTGAACTCGCGATCTTGCCAACGACTCAACTCGATCGGCAATGTCACGCTCCCCAGGCACGCCAATTTGCATACGGACGGGGTCATAACTTGAATGTCCACGTCCGTGGAGTGTTCGTCCACGTCGAACGTGAAGAGCGCGTTCCAGAACGGACTCGACCCGCCGCCTTCGTGCACTTCTGTCGTGCGCTGCTGCCTTCCGACGTGGACTATGCACACTGGACTCAGCCGCCCAAAGACACTCCAAGGTCGGCGAAGATTGCGGCCTTCCACGACAGTCAGGTGCAGTTCCCCGCTCGTCGCAGCAGTCTTGCGCATGACAATGGATCAAATGATCAAGAATGGCAGGGCATCCACGCAAGCCCTTGACATGCAAAGGTACGTAATGGGTACCAGGGAATGTGTGTGTGTGCATGGCCACGTTGTCAAATTAGAACGAACTAAAACATTCAGAAATTATTGATAACCCTAAAAACACGAAAAAGCACAAGTGGTTTTGACCCAACAGACATGTTTTGAATTGCCACGAGGTCGGCAAACAACACTCGTCGTCACGTTACTGAGTGCAAGCAAATATCTCCATATCCTTTGTAGCATTAATGTAAGCTTGACGTTATCCAGGAGAATGAAAACCGAGCGAGCCGCTTGGAGTTTCTTTCTACGTGTATAGAATAACGTTACACGTAGAACCAACTAATACTAGTATGTACCTGTGGTTCACTCTGTGTAAACGTTAACTATCCGTATGTGTTAACTACTACTAGTATGTTACGTTAGTACTACGTAGTATATTCAAGGATGGTTGGTGTGAGTATTTTTTCTTTAACTTCGTAGATGAAGCCAATGAAGGACCAGAGACACTCGTGGGTTCAAAGCCGACAAACGAACATTCGATTCTCGTTCACATCGTCATGTTAAATATAAATCTTGACGTGTCACAGCACCTGTACCTTCAAACAAGTACTCCCGGAGTGTTTGGCTTGACATGCAAATCGGTCGATTTGGACTCCACGAGCAACCTCTTTTCCACGAGATAGGCCAACGCGGTCTCTTTGCGACATTGTTTGACGTAGTCTGCTTGGATGCAAATGCGACCGATGTCCTCCATGCTGTAACCTTGTCGTCGTAGCATCACCACGCGACGAACGGGCTCCATGTACAGAGCGCGTCGCTTTTTGCCTTGTGTTGCAACCACTTCGTCCTCGTCGAGAATGGGAACGCTGGAAATGCAGATGGGGGGACCCACGAGACCGACGGAGGGGCCGACGTGGGGCACGGTGGTGGGGTTGTGTGCGATGTGAAACTCCGCCACAGTTTTGGTGGCTGCAAACGATACGTGTTTCTTGGTCATGGTTGTGTGATTGAATAGTGTGCAAATTGAAAACTAAGCCACATGATTGTTAACTAGCAACAACCATGAACTTGTCGTTTGAAAGTGGACGGTTGTTGATTGGGAGGCCACTGAATGTTGAGGACAGTCTGAAATATTTGGCGAAAGGAGATATATAGAAGATATACAACACTTGCTTGGTAGACGACGTTACTGTAAATAAAACACGTTTTTAATCCTGCAGAGTAGTACTACCTACTTGAAGTACTTCGAAGTAAGTTATTACTACGTAGTAATAGTAAGCAGGATGTATCCAACTACTATTAATAGTACAGAGTATTCAGCAAACGCTACTAACGTTACTGTACTATTCATTGAACGAATCAGCACTCCAGAAGCCTCCAGAGTCATCGCAACTTTCAGCACCTCCATTGTATGCGGTGACAAGGACACCCAAAGTGACCACGAAGCACGTTTAACGATGATGGATTTACTTGGATGGCAATTACTACGTAGTACTACGTAGTACAGTATTTAACAGCTGTAAATCTTTGCACCAACCTCTCTCTCTCGATTCACTTTGCCACCGAAGTATATTTGTTCTCAGGGTAAACCCCACCTGAATTGATTGCTGCAGTCAGAATTTCTGAATTCGGCGATGAGGCAGTTGGGTGATATGAAGTTTAAAAGGTAAGATATTTTAATTGACTGTGAAGGAGGAGTACGCCGGATTTCTTATTCGCTCCCTTATTGTGGAATTGTAGGAGTACATTTTTTCAGAGTCCCTGGCAAGGTTCTAAGTCGACCGAAGCGTAATAACCACGGATTCGAGTGTTCCTGCCCAACACTTGGTGTAAGAAGGTTCTGAAAGGATATTCGACGACCACATACGTAGATGGCCAGTTTATGGTGCACTTGAAAGAGACTTCGTCGTAGAATGCAGCTTACTCGTCTCTCAGGACCGGGATTTCAATTCTGAAAAGTGCTGCATGAAGCCGAAAGGTTGGTCATTCTTCTGATTATTTAATCGGCTTGAATAGACTTCAGCTTAGCGTTCATTTACTTCGATTCCACTTAAGTCAAGGCAAAATAGGAGGGACGGTTTATGGTGCACGGTTTAAGCTTAAATTATGTATGCAGTTTTTGCTTATAGTTTAGTGTTTTCATTTTTCTAGTGATTCGATTGGCTACTCCAAAATTCAAGCAATTCCATTGGCCAATTTGAGTACACCTTAAACTGTCCCGTGCACCATAAACTGGCCATCTACGGTTATGCAAAACGTTAGTGGTATCCTAACAGTACTCCCAGCGAATCAAATACGCACAGTATTACCACGGGGCATTTTACACACAAAATTCACATATCAGTACAAAAAATCGAGCTGGCGATTTCGCACAAAAGTCCAAATTTTGGGTAAAAGAATATTTATCTAATCGGAATGAACTAAGAATTGCTTCAATGGGATTGGACAGTGCGATTCATTGTGGCCAATCAAAACCACACCAGTTTCTATTAGCCAATCCGAATAAGTTAGTCGAAAGCAGCGACACAATCATGGCTTCGAGCGTGGACGTGGTGGTAGGCGCTACCTTCGCCGTGGACGACATCCATGCAGCCATGCAGCTACTCTTCCGGGAGGTAGGTGAATGGAACAATCGCATCCATCACCATGATCTCCGTAGACCCTTCCCTCCATCACCGCATCGCTTACGTGGATTCCCTACGGCCAAACGGCTTCGTTCCTCGCCCAACCAACCCAGCTTGCAGCGTCTTCACCGACAAGACATGCAGTCACACTCGTCTTCGTTCGTCTCGTGGATCTATGGCACTCGCACCCAGAACTTCGCCAGGAAGCGCCGGATATGTCACTCATGCACCGGTAGGCACGCTCGATGTCAACCCCTGATAGCCGTGGATGCACATTGTTTGTGCTGTAGGTTCTGTGCAGCCATCGATACGCATATAGCGTTAAACCCGTCGCGCCATATCGTGTTGGTTCTGTGTCCATCTCCGCCAGAGCTCGTCGATGACAATGCATACATAGCCAACGAGCATGCCTTCTTGGCACAGCTTCCTCGCAAAGTCGTCACAGTGACCAATGTATTTGCATGTTATGACCCGCCGTCGCCCTACTACGACGTTGTTGCTGGTACGTTGTGAGCCTCCTGATTCACAAAAGGTGACCGTTTTTTGGTAGACACCTTGTCGCACAGTCCATATACGACTGCGATGGCCCACCTGTTGGCACTCGTGGGGACCCGGTCCATTTGCCGTGTGTTTCGAACCATCACAAAAGTAGGTTCGTGTTTGGGCACGTATTGTTAACCATGTCGACAGGTGATTGTCGTGGACTGCGACCACACGTTGTGGACTGGCGCGGTGTCGGAAGATGGATTGGATGGGATTGCAATTCCCCCAGCATACGCCGCCTTGCAGCGTTTTCTAGTGGCGCAATTCACAAAAGGTGTCCTGCTTTGTGTGTGCAGTCGCAACGTACCAAAGGACGTACACGCTGTGTTTGCGAATCATCCGGATATGGTATGCGGTTGTGTACGCTTGTTTATGGTCGCCATTTGTGAACTATGTCTATTTTCCCCAAAATATGTCGACGTTTGTGCTGATTCGCCCAATCTGTGGATCGATTCTTTTGCTGCAGTGTCACGCTAATTGACTAATTTGGACCAAGAGTCGATACGATTTGATTGGCTACTGGATTCGTTCGTGTTCTGGGTTTTGATTGGTCGCGATTGATTGTCGTGTGCCGATTGGGTTCTTTGTGCTAATTCGATTGAGTACATGACTCCAATTAGGCCGAAACGACTGGACAATATTGGTGGTGGCTCCTGCAATCTGATTGGCTAAATCCTTTTGCTGATTCTTGTCTACCGATTGGGTTCTTCTGCTCATTCGATTGAGCACATGACTTCAATTAGTTCGAATCGACTGGACAATATTGTCCTTTTACTGAATCGCCAAATCTGTCGATCATTTCTACTGAATTTTGTATGTAAAAAGTTGTCCTGTGGTGATTGATATCACACTAATTGAAGTCACACACTAATTCGACGTTGATGGTGGCTCCTGCAATCTGACTGGCTCAATCCTTGTGCTGATTCTTGTCTACCAATTGGGTTCTGCTGCTCATTCGATTGAGCACATGACTCCAATGATTTCAAATCGACTGGATAATATATACCATGTCGTCCGTAGGTGCTGCAATGGGATGTGCACATTTTGTTAGCCAAGATCAACCACGAGCTAAAGTCGGCCAATATCCAAGCCCTGGTCACTCAGCTAAACGTAGCCATGGACAGTGTCGTGTTTGTGGATGACAATGCGGTCGAATGCGGCGATGTCGAGCAAAATTGTCCTGGAATTAGTGTGGTTCAAGTGCCCATGCAGCTTACTCCAGAGGTTTGCAGCGTTCTTTATATGCAACCAGTTGGTTGTATGTCGAGCAAAATTGTCCTGGAATTAGTGTGGTTTAAGTGCCCATGCGGCTTACTCCAGAGGTTTGCAGCGTTCGTTGTTCATATGCAACCAGTTGGTTGTATGGTGCATTTTACCCACATTTGGATTTGGTGTGCGAGTTATTTCGCCAAATATATTGCATTCGATCGAATCCATTTGATCCAATTTAAGCTTGTACGCCTACCACTATATGATACATAGATTAGTTTATATCTAGTGTTGCCCCATAAGCGACTGTGCTAAAGTTTGGATTGGCAGAAATTCGACAGGACGTGATTTGATTGGCGGCTTAGGTGGTTCTTGAATCCATTCTCTTCTTACATTCGATTCTGTGGAGGGCTGCTCCACTTAATTTGGAATTGATTTGATTGGATGACCAATTCGGACGAAGAGTCGGATTGTCAAATTTGGCTGCCTTTTGTCCTGAACATCGCCAATAATCCATCGATCGATTGTTTGTACTGAAATTTGCATGCAACAGTGGGGCTTGTATTCACACTAATTTCAGTCTCACACTACTTCGATGTCAGTGACGGTTTCCTGCAATCTGATTGGCTCAATTCTACTGCTATGCTTGTGTACATTGGTCGATTCAGACTCCATCCTGTCGCTCCAGTTTTAAGCTCTATGGTCAACAATACCCCTTGTTGACATCATGATACATATACGAGTAGTTTATGCCGACGTGCTGGGCATTTGATAGCCCGTTGGGTACATTCGACGCTACCGTGACAGCTGAAGATGCACGACGGACTGCAATGTATCGGCACCAGCTTTTGGCTTGTGCCATCACAAATCACCCTTCAACGTTGTCGCAGATTCCGTCCATTGTTTCGGGTACCCCCGATACATTGAAACTATCGCTGGGCATGCAAATCGACATCCAATTGGTGGATTCGTCAGCGACAGTGTCGTCTACTTTGTCTCGGCTCGTGCAACTGTGTCAGCGCACCAACCAATTCAATTGCCACACGGACGCGGCGCGCGCTTTCACATCCGACGTACGTATTCAGGTCGCCAAATGTTACGAAACGTCTCGTACGTTGTAGGCGCACGTCGTGGCGTTCCGTGGGTCCATATTGTACGTGCATGTCACTGATCGCTTTGGCCATTATGGGCTTGTGGGGATGGCCGCTTGGACGGAATTAGACGACGAAACGTCCCGTATCGATGTGTTTGTGCTCAGCTGCCGTGTATTGAATCGAGGAATCGAACACGCGATGCTGCAATACGTGGCAACACACACGACGTCAACCACGATTCATATTGCGTTTGTGTCCACGGTTCGAAACGGTACGTACATACGTTCGCAATAACTCCCATCTTGGAGATGGAACATTCGGTCTTGTGCTTGCTTGTACCCCAAACGATATGGACACTTTGTGGTGTGGATGGTCGCCAAATCGATCGATCGATTCGTTGTCCTGACTTTTGTAAAAATCGTCCAGTGTCACACTAATTGAAGTCACGCACTAATTCGATGTTGCATTGGTCAAAGAGTGGTTTGCTTGATTGGCTACTTGAGTAGTGTTCTGGGTTTTGATTAGTCAATCGATTGTCGTCTACCGATTTGGTGCTGCTCACTCGATTGAGCACCCCACTCCAATTTTGAATCGAATATCTTGACAATAAGTACAAAGATCGTCGAGTGTCACACTAATTTCAGATGCAAAGCTGACTTGGTCGAAAAGTGGATAATTTGATTATTCTGCTTTCGAGTGAAATTTCGTGTTGTGGCGTGGTTTCTCGTTGGAATTTAAATCGATTTGATTGGGTACTTCAAATGAGCTCAAGATTATTAGCCAATCAAAACCTTATCAATGAAATTCAACCAATCAGATCGATTGTGGATCGGTTTGGTCGGCGCGATTCGATTGCACCCCCTTCCCAAATTTGTATCAAATCGACAATATTTGTTACTTGATTCTTGTTCTGGGTTTTGATTGGTCGATTTGGTTATTCTGTGACCACCACCAATCTCTCCCATCATTGGTCATTCAAAGATTCCTTGTCGCGGTATTCGCTACACTCGATTTTCGATGGTTCGAAAGGGCAAAGTGGATACTCTTAATTAGCCAATCACATGTCTCGGTTGTGCTCGATTGTGAACGAACTATGGGGAATATTGCAAAATTTGAAGAAATCACATCGACTATATATATATGGGTTTGATTATTCGATTGATGTGGACCTCGTAGTCCCCGCCGCGACCTTTGTGGCCAACTTGCCACATGTGACCAAGACTAAACATGGGTATGCCGTACCTCGAGCCTCCGTATTGGCCCTTCACAACCAGCCAGTCGTGACGACTAGTACTACCAACCACGCCAACTTGACTACTGGTAACGTTTAAAACGCGTTCGAAACATCACTGCAATACTGTACAGGTGGTCGTCCACGGGGCCTCCCGACCACGAATTTCCCAACGTTGGCGGCGCTTTCATCCTTTATCGAGTCGTTTTCTTCAGCTCCCTCAACTGTTCAAGGCGGTGTGGACGTTGTACAAGTTACTACTCCAGTTGCTAGTCAAGATGTGGACATTGCTGACGCTTGTAAATTCCGCCGACAGCAACGCGAAGCGTTGAAAAAACTGCAAAAAGAGGCCACCGGCACGGCAATTCCCATTTGGACGACCAACAATGTCTCTGAACGAAAGCCATGTCCCCAATGCAAAGTGCATACTTTGGGTACGAGACATACACTGTATATTGTCTTCTTTTACCCCAAATTTGGACTTTTGTGCTGATTCGCCAACTCCATCGATCGATTCTTTGTACTGAGTGTTGTATGTAAAACTCGTCCAGTGTCATTCACACACTAATTCTACGTTGAATTGATCGAAGAGTGAATTTGATTGGCCACTTGATTCGTATTCTGGATGTTGATTGGTCGATCGAGTGTCTGCCGATCTCGTGCGGCTCATTGGATTAGGCACCCCACTCCAATATCGAATTGACAATATATATATGTATATATTTCGACTTGTATATCGTACGTAGCCTTGACCAGCAAATGCACGTTCGAACGATGTCGCAGCTGCTGCTATAACATCCAAAAGTGGCTCCAACGGGCGCACGACCACCCCCATCCCAAGGCCAGACACGTGGCCCTTGACTTGCTTCAACAAGCCAACATCGACATTCTACGCTCGCAACGCGGCTGCAACGTCCATACAAACCAGCGACGAGCAAACGACTTTTGATTGGCTGTGGCAGTCGTCCGCCAGCCAATCAATTCCGAGATCTCTGGCTCACATTGAAGTGAGATGTTACCGGTATTGTCGATTCGGTACAAATTGTCCAGACCCCGTCGAATCGAATCACGAATCGACGCTACTAGTATTGGCTAATCTAATTTTGAGTGGATTTGATTGGCTCTTACAACACGGACAAGTGTAGTCAGCCAATGAGAACTCCAGCGTGATTCAATATTAATTAAACAAACCACGCAAGTTTAGAGCGAATTCATCATACTTCGACGTAACGACGTTTGACATGACAACGACTTCCTTGACAAAATGCTAATCGATCGTGCAACTACAGTGAACGAGGAATTTTAGAAGCCACACCGAAGCTCGTCTGAATATTACTGTACTTAACCAATTAGAACCGTAGCTCTCAAAAATAACCAGACCATTTGAAGGTGCGGTGCAGATGACATATTTCCACGATGATGATAACGTTACTGTAGTAACGAACTAAAGATGGGCATGCTAACGTTTGTATGAACCACGCATTTATGTGTCTGTAGCAGTGCAAACTCCGGATGAAAGTGTTGCACTAGTTGCCGGGTCTGGCCCGTCGACAAGCTCATGAATAAAATACTACAATGTCTACACGTTTACTAATATCCGTGCCAAAGTAAACACACGGCCCCATATGCCACTGGACGTTGGATTTTCAATATTAACGTTACTGCATATAGTGTTGTGGTTGTGAGTGTAACGGGCTTAAAAACTGTGGGCATGCTTACATCGAACAAGTGAATTTACTGTTAAGCCATACTTTGAATCGAAATCTTGAAATCTGATTGGTCAATATTGATTATTTTGACAAACCAAACCAACCATTTTGGGACAAACCTGAAATAACCAAAATACCCAATTATTCATCTACATCGCACCCTTTAAAATAAAGAGACCCCGAATTCGCACGATTCGAAGGGACTTCGAAGATCTCACTATTTATTCTACATACAAAATCCTATGTAACAACATCCAATAGTAACGTAAAAAACCAGTAGATTGCCCGATATCAGAGAATAGCCTGAAACACTTTTCATGACGAAACTTATATAACTCCATATAAACTATAGTGAACATATTGACATTCGTAGTACGAGTCCCACTGTTTCGATGTATAGTGTATTCAAGGCTAAATTAGGGCCATCTACTGATTTTCTTAAAATTCACAATTTGGACCATGACCAGCAAGAACTTGGTGAAGCATTCATCAAATCCTTCAAAGCTTGCTTGTATAATCATGTAGCGCGTTCAATCCTCTATAACAGCATAGTTGAAAGTTCGTCCAAATCGTCTTATTTGTTGAGAAAGCGTAACAAGTTAAGGGGTCGATTTTCGGGCCATCTACTGGTTTTTTAGAATTGAGCCAATCAGATTGCAGGAAACCATCATCAACGTTAAATTAGTGTGTAACTTCAACTAGTGTGATGCCAATCACCACAGGAGACCTTTTTACATACAAAATTCAGTAGAAAGAATCGATCGATAGATCTGGCCAATCAGCACACAAGTCTAAATTTTGGGTACAGTAAAAGGACAATATCGTTTGTCGTGGACAATCCATTCATAAATACTAGTAGATGTTAATCAAAAAGTGCGTCTATAATTCCTTTTCAGTCATTTCTTTTGAAAATTGTAGATTTCTTGAGATGGATTGAGACTGTGCCGAAATCCTTTTGCGGGCCAAGTTTTGCAACGGTTTCAAGTGAACTCAGAGCAAGCGATCCACAAAATAGTTTGGGTACTGTACTCCTTTTAAACTCAAAAAAATTAGGGTGCGTCTGTAATTTCTTTTCAGACTCTTAAGCCCGAAAACAATGGGTAAGCAGTTTTTCCCCGAAAATACGCCACTGCACTAGTGTGCTGGCAGGAATTAGGAATGGCTCTTCGCGCATGTAATATCACTTGATTACCTCGAAACAAACGAAATGTGTACGTAAGAACGTCCGCATGAGGAGGCTTGAAAGATCGGAACCCCGGCGCCCTAGAACCTAGATTAGTTAGGTCGAAGTGTAGTCTTCATTTTCCGGGGTTTGGCGCATTGCCAGTGGATCGCTATCGTAAACCCCCGGCAATGCGCCGAACCTCTCACGAAAATCAGAAGCAAGCTTACCTCCGCTACGCTGCGAAAGGTCGTGCACCCCCACGCTGATGCAGAAAACGTTCAAGGTACGACGAACTCCTGGTCATAGTGGCCTCCAATGCGAATTCGCAACTGTTGCAAATCGATTTCGCCTACCGGTAGCGACTTGATCCCGTTGTGTTGCACTAAGAGTCCATTCCGTTAACCGTTCACCTATAATTTTGGGCGTATCCTGCGGGCAGAAGATAAATTCAAAACCGCCGCAAGCAATTCTACACCCACAGTTTTTGGTAAAATATTACCAGTAATCAAATAAAAATTGCGAAAAGTGTTCCTACACCCATGGCTTTCGGTAAAATATTGATCGCCCAACGCATTCGTGTTGAGTGCAATTCAACTAATTGAGTGTATCTGTGGGAATGTCGTTGAAAAGTGGAGTATAAGGAGTAGAGGTTTAGTATCTATGATAGACATATAATCCACACCTTTGAATTGTCCATCAAAGGCATATTTTGACGATTCAGTTTATCGTGGGGGGATGGTAAGCTTATAGCAAATCCTACCAGTATAACCTCTGAAAATATCCTATAGCGGTGGAGATGCTCGATTGACTGAAAAGTGCACATTTGGGTGAAAAGCACAACACTACAGTATCTAACTACCAGTAATATATACATATTAGGTCAACCCTCTTCGGTGCTACTACACGTTTGGGTAAAAAGCACAAGACTATCTACTATTAATATACATATTAGATCAACCCTCTTCGGCACTACTACTACTATCGTGGCCAAGATTGGTGGTGCTTAACAGAGTAGAAGGTTGGATCGAACACGACGAAGCCGCTTGAGCCATTTCCCTCAACGCCGCCGCGCCTTTAAGCTGAGTTGGCCCATCCGACGCCCGCAAATCTTCATCCCTTAAGTCGTTTGAAGGCATAAGTCTTCGCCGAGTCTTTAGGACAGCTTGGGCACTTTCCTACGAGTCATCCAGTTAGTTATATTGAGTTTATAAAATCAATTTAAAACGATTTCAATAGACAATATATTAGGACCTTCTTCCGCACGCGCGTCACCACCCACGCCACTCTGTCGTCCGCCGCGAGTTTGTATTCTTTCTACGATGATCGTGTCCAAATTGAATCAAATAGATGAACATATACATATTGTCAAGCAGTGCTGCAGCACCAAATCCGCAGACAATCAATCGACCAATCAAAACCCAGATCAAGAATCCAGTAGCCAATCAAATTATCCACTCTTCGACCAATTCAACATCGAATTAATCGTGTGTAACTGAAATTGGACCATTTTGACAAAAGATTTGGCGAATCTGCTTAAAAGGCCAAATTTTGGGTAAAACAACACGTAATAAGATGAAGCTGAGACGTACTTCCGCGACGTCAACGGCTTCTGCTAGCCCGATTGTGCGGTTTACGCCTCCAGTTGGATAGCCATCTCGATACGGTTTGGACTGGTCATCCCACGGAACAACCGACGAATGTGGCACCGCCGCACTAAAGAAACGGTGTTATTGGTAATTCGATTTCAAAATGGATCGGGGCTGCCAATCGAATCGACGAAGCCAGTCATCGACGGACCAAAGTAGCCAATGAAATGTTCGAACAAAAATATTTCGACCAATCAAATTGCAGGTGTGTCCGGTGCATGGCCAAGCTTCTCCATTTCACAAAGAGTTCAACGTTGTATCGGACAGGATTCACAGTAAATATATTCAGCTCAAGTAAAACGACGTCTAGACGATTATATTCAGGTAGATTTGACGTCGTTCGCCGAATCTACCGAAAATACCAATTTTTGCTTGAAAGCACAATACCAACAACTGATGTTGATGTAGGTTAACTTTGTATCAAGAAATAGAATCGAGCACAAACCGAGCCAGACATCTCATTGGCTAATATCGCCATTTCCGGTAGAAAATCGAAATGGATCGTAGCCACTCAGCGACACGTAATTTCGGATTGACCAATGGGAGCGAAGATTGATGTCCAGTTCGGTCGGCGAGATTCGATTGAACGGGGTCGGAAATTTGTACCGAATCTCCAATAATATCTCCTTTATTTTATATGTAGTGAGCAGTACATAGCATGAGCATGAAAACAATGTTGTCAAATCGGTTCGACATTATAGAGTCGCCCGTAGAATCGTAGACATATCGATTTGAGAAAATGAACTGGCCAATCAAATCACGTTCTGTCGATTTTAACCACAATATTTTTATCGATACTAAAATACTGTATAGTGTAGTGATGTATATAAGCATCCATTGGGTAACATATTATATTTGATTGGACCCTGAGGTCCAAATTTGGGTGTATATATATATATTCAATACAAGCAAGAAACATATAGGCCAAACAGATCGGATGATACCTTTTGTTGCAATGGTAAAAGTAGATCCAGTAATGTGTCTTCATCAGCGGCACAAAGGTCTCCATCGTATCTGCGTCGACGGCCAGCATTTGCGGACTGCATACATACCCGGGCCAATACGGCCATCCGCGAAGCCGACACCACGCCACTTGGCTGTACATGCTCGTGATCTCGGGAACGAGAGAAGCATGCTGCTCGAACATGCGTGCGGCGAGGGCAGTGGTGTCTTGCAGTTCCTGCTCGGGGGTCTTTGGTGTTATGGCGGCGGCGGCCGGAACGACTTTGCGCTTCTTCTTCGCTGGTTTCACTGCACCACCTGTGGGGCTATAGTACCCCCCGTATTCTGCAAACGGTGTGTTCCGAGGGGCGGGGACCACCTTTTCAAGCACTACGTCGTCGTCGCTGTCACCATCACCGTCGTCGTTCTGGCTGTCGTTGTGGATGTCGTCATCCGAGATCTCGACCACGTCCGTCGGCAGCTTCAACGGAGCCAATGAGGATGTCGCTCTTGATGCTGATCTCGTGGTAGTGATGCTCGTCGCTTTGTGGGTGGCTAACGATCGCCTCGTGCGGGGTCGTCCCACCGAAGGCGCCATGTCTCGACCGCCAGAGGTTTGAGGAGAAAAAGTCTCACGCCATGCGATTGGTAGACGAGTTTCGGTCAAGTGACACGATTCGTATTGAATTTCGACGGGATAATCAGCCAATCATACTGCGAAGAAATGTTTTGAGCCAATCATATCGTTACAGCCATCACTTCCAGCCAATCCACGATGAAGTGGAAAACGTTCAACTTTGATCACAATCGAGAGATGGGTAGTACTACTACTAGTACATACTAGTAGTACTTGGACGTGGAAACTGGCTGCCAGAATCTCACACTCTTGATTCTGCAACGCCGTGGTAACATCAAGTCAATCAAGTGCCCTCCCCCATCCGATTGTATGTGTTGGCACTGGAGGGGAAACAACACAATGGAATGTGCCAAACTTCACAGTGTGACCCGCCCCTTCATTCTTGACCACGCTCGAATAACAACACACAGTTCATGGAGCTTGGTCCAGGTGGATAAAAGACCGCGCTACGGGTAGATGGTATCGAACCCTGAACCAACTGATCCTCATTGCCATTCAGTAGTATATAGTAGTATATGCCCATGATTACATGTACCAATAACTAGTTAGTACTTGATTCGTGCATAACACTGCTGTTGAATAGGCAGGGGGGGTGGGGGCAGGGGTAGAACACGCACAAAAAGGTAGAGCTCAGTTCGAGGTAAAACCAGGAATGAAAGCCAGGGCTACATCATTCCAAACCCCTCACATCCTTGCCCAGCAGCACACACAACCACACAAAACATAAGCTATGGAGACCTTACATAAGCCTTGGTCTTCATATCACATAACACTGCCTCAATGTTCCTACCACCATACATTCCCTTTACAGTTTGATTGTGCCAAGTGGTAGAGCCTCTTGACTTCGAGCTACATATGGAGACACTTCGCATGCGTGATATATTCTGACACTTGCCAGGGGAACAAGTTTTGTATCCTGATAGCTCATGTCTAACAACTGCATGGACTGTTCGTCTCCGAACAACAGTTGAGGCTATGTATTAACGTTACTTTCAAAACCCTCGCACGGCAACCAGCCAACCAGCGGCCATCATACCCCTGAGCCACTTGTCGCAGTGCTTCTTGTGAACCAACGACCTTCTCTTCTACAGCCATTTTGCGAGTTCGGGTGGTAACCTTCATTGCTACTACGATGTAGTATGTATACTGCTCGTACAGATCGACAAGCACAACGCAAGGTTGATATACAACAACACTGAAACACACTGAATCTAAAAACTAGTCGAATATATATATAGTGACGCGTTAACAAGGGCTTCAGTTGGCACACAAGAAAACACTTAGAGGTTTTTGACGGGGGTTTCAATTGCCACAGGAACGCTTTCGTCCTCGAGGTTGGTGGCCGACGAACGCACTCCGAAAATGGACGACGCAATGTCGTTGCGCTTCTTGACGATGAAAAAAGTGATCGAGCCGAGGCAGAGCACCGACATTATGGGCAGCCAAGCGAATCCATCTACGCATCATCCCCATCATCATTAGCTATATCAGTACGTTGGTTTTGTCCTTGATGGCAAAAAGCTAGAAAATTAACCAGAACGTACGTACCCATTGAAACAGTCATGATGCTAACGATAGGCTGTACAGGTCAAATGGAAAAGTGAATACATAGCAGTCGAAAGGGCGATGCAAAACGTCGTCGGGGCTTGGCATGGATGTATATATCCACAACACGCGAGAGTATCCCATCCACCATTCCGACGTCCGAACTTCGCGGGCTTCTTCATGGCCTCATACACGTCCATGAATTCAGATCGTACAACTTCAATCTGTGGTGACAAATTGTCCGGCAAAGTACAGCAGTATGGATGGCTATTGGGTCCTTTATCAAACAATCGACCATTGCTATATGCTATCCATCAAATTCGACGATTGGCGGTACTGTGGATACATAATCGCACACTACGTATTAATAGTAGTAGTACAGTAGTAATATACCCCTCCCTGTCCATTGGAACCGTTTTGACTGATGGGGCAGTCAAACGGTTCCAAGCGTTGTTTACGCCGGAGTATAATATCGATCTATTTTGATGGACATTTCTGGGTGCACGTTGGTTTGTTATTCAGATGAATGTGATCCCACGGCCGTGACACCAAATTTTTTGTAGCAGGCCGGGAAATCCACCCGACCGACTGAGCTGAAGCACTTCTAACTCAAGATTAATTATGTATTTGTGCTCGAAAGTCTGTACGATTATCTATCTTTTCAATAAATCGGCTGTAGGCAGCCGAACAACACCTCCACCGAGTGTGACGCGAGGCAAACTTAACGTTACTGTACAAGGGTCAATAGGCCCTTGCCATGAGCCCGATGGATTTAAAAATCCGTTTCTGAACAATCCATTGCAAAGGCTTTGTCCCACGCTTTACGTATCGTGCCGGACTCGCATTGCTGCTGGACACAAGAAGGGAGTTGTTTAACTCTTCATCACTTGTCAAGTCGCCCGTCTTGTGCGGCCTGCGTCCAACGAGAGTGGTCGCTGCTACAATACTGGCAGTATTATATATGGCAGTTTTATATCCTTCAAGTAATAGCCTTATCAAAATATGGAATCCCGGCCAGTGTCCTGTTGCAAAACAGGGTTGAGATTGCCCATACTTCTGCAGCAATGCACAACAATACACACACATGCACTGATGGGGTTCGCTTGGAGTACACTGTACAACAATTGGTTCACGGGGAAACACCAAGGTGATGAACCGGCCAAGCGATCGAACTCAGCGCCGAAATACGCCGCGTACAGTACTCCTGCACGGATCAGCACTTGGCCGTCGTTTGACTGACGACAAACCCTGAAAAACGTTCAATAAATCTGGATACCGTTCAACCAAGACTGAAAACCGTTCAAACTAATAAACTCAACTTAGATGAGGCATATGTTTTGTACTCTGACCACCTCAACTCCTATTTAGTAGTAGAGCATCTGCACCGGTAACCCTGGGGATTTAGCATTATACTTTGAATTATTTACTAGTATATGGATTTCAAATATCCGTGATAGTATCATGTGTCATCCAAACGTCATCCCAACGTCATCCACCATTAATATTAGGTCATATCCTAATTAGTATAGATGAGAGTAAATTAGGATAATGCTAGGTCATTGTATACAGGCCGCGTCCGGGAGCGGCACGGCCTACGGCCTACCTGCCGCTGCCCGACAAGAAGAAAAGATAGATCATTCGGTGAAGTGAGAAGCTTAGATCCGCGCTCTCGTACGGCCGCGCTTGCGCAGACGGCCTCCCGGGCGCTCGGGGCCAACGTAAGGCTTGGTCACTACTTTAGGTTTCATCCCACAACTTCATCCAATTTCATCCAATGTCATCCAAATTTCATCCACATGTCATCCATGCTTTTAATTCAACAATTATATTATATTTACCATAGTATCCAAGGTTGGTATTAATATTCAATGCTGTCCCGTAAGTCTTAAGTATGTGCACGCGGGGGTAGGACGAAGGGTAGTAGTAGTACTGTACTAGTACTAGTCTACTGTACGCCGCATTGTGCCCTGCCACGTCAGTGGACTTCGCTGTACTGGTAATACCGTACTTTACTCATTGCCAGTTTCTGTTGAGACCGATTTCGTGCCATCCACCCTGTCGATTTTAAGTGGTTTGTACCTGGGTTGGAATGAGGAGTGAGTACTTATCCGTACCATACGGAACTATGTGATAGTGTGTTAAATGAATTTGCTTCATGTTTTCATCTACCGATATGGGCTGCTGGTAGAGTATTGGTTAATTGAGTTTGGATTATCATTTTTAAGACATTCCTCCGCGAGGGCCTCTGATCTCTGGTAGAGTATTGGCTTCGCAAGCAGTTGAGGAAAACTCCGGAACTTAGTAGCAAAATCCCTCAAGTGGGTTCATTTCATGGATTCGAATCATCGACCGGGATTGGCCAGATCGGTTGACTTGGTGCAACGCTTTTTTACGCGTGGAGGTCAATCAGAGGAGCGGTGGGACCGAACAAGTTAATGATAACCTCCATCTCTATGCATAGTGACGTAGAATCCCGTGCACCATCACGTGTATACACACACTTGTATGAACTATGAAAAGAAACTTAGGCGGCGTCCGACGCCGTAGCTCAGTCTGCCGCGCCTAGAAGTACATCGGCGGGAGTTGTACCAGTGGCTGATCAACGATATCTTAGAAGCACCAGATAAGTACTAGTATAGTAGCACCCCTCTGCAGCTGGTGCTGTGGTGCCAGTTGCCGAGGCGTGCTACACTTCAGATGCAAGCCACTCCTTGCCTTCATAGCCACGCCTTTTTGAACGTCCTACAGATAGAACAGCTAAACTAACACAACATGAGTTTCAATCAATTCAATGTTTCGTATCCCTCTGCCACCGTAATACTGTAGCCCCAACGCTACAACAATGAATGACCCATGGGACATGGGCCTATACTATTATACTATCGAACGTCCATTTTGCGCGTCATTCGTCGACCAGCATTCGACGAGCCGTGACCGCAGACAACAGTCCAGCCTGGAGCACGCGATCGTCGCAGACGTTCCAACCAACACACTCGCAAGGCGACCACGGACACTTTGCGCGAGTAGCACCCGGTTGCATCGCACTTGGTGATCCAGTTCGAAATGGTTTGCTCGCTCTTTCCCTACACAGCAGCAAGCTGTCGACGCTTCATCCCCAGGAAGAAGTAGCCGTGGAGACAGTGCATGATTGTGTTCGGACTTGCATACTGTGAGATTGCCGACTCGATGGTGCTCATCGTCGTCTTGCGGTGTGCGATCTGCTTCGTCCTAACAATCAAATCATGGCAAAATTTGAAAGCGCCAATCGAATCGATTTACGAACGACGCGTGGTTTTTTAGGAATTCACGCCAAAATCCAAAATTTCGCTCGAAAGCACAACACTTTGCTTTCATCTTTTACGGAAAAAGAAAACGAGAAGTTATCTCCGAAATCTCCCTAACGTTATTGTGAATTCGCTATACTGTAAACTTCCGAAATTCGCCTGATTTATCGAATCAATATAGAATCACGCCGGAGTTTCTGATTGGTTGAATATACTTATCAAGAGCCAATCAAATCCAAAGTACTTTAGAGCCATCATACTAACACGACTTTTGGATCTTCACAGGAGGCTGCGGGAATTGGTCATTTCGACAGTTTTATTAGTGAAACTGGTTGATCAGCACACGCCACATACAACTTCAATTGGTGCAATATATTGTTAGATCGCGTAAGCCTTCAGAGGACCAGTTGCGCTTCACAATTGTCGGATCAGCGCGCTACCATTCCGGAATGGAAGGCCCGCGAGAAATTCGAATCTATCCGGATAATAGTTCCGGAAACGGGTGAGTTGGGTGTCTTCATTCAAATGCACGTATTTTTATTCCTTGACATTCAAATGATAAAAATAAATATAGCATCATTGCTATGTTATGTTATAATTTATGACAAACAATGTTTGTTAACTTATTGCTATCTTTGGAGAAATCGTCGTAACACCATCTTTAGGCCAGTATAAGTCTATAATGATTGAGCGGATCAATGCGAAACTTTACATACACGGTTGTGACTTTATGTACTACATGATGACGTGTGATGGTAAACCAAATAGTGTTAGATGATTGCGATATTCATGAACAAAGTAAGCTATATTTTTCAAAAATGGAATGTTTGATGCTCCGATTCTTGCCCACTATTGTCCCAACTTAGTGAACTCTTATCAACTTCCATAGGCACCATCGAAATCTACTTGCACG